ACTCATAATAAATCTTATTTTGCATTGTCAAAAAAAAACGTCAACATTTCAAATATAAATAAGCAAATTGTTAACTGAAAAAATTTGAATATTATTATTAATGAAATAATGGACTTGGACAATGGACATATAAAAACTAGCACCGTAGACGGCCGCTTGCGGCCGTCGGAGGAGCTAGTATGTATATAATATGTATGAAAAAGCAATAAAAATAAAAATGTCTTATCTTAAATATTTTCATCATAAAAAAATTCTTAAAAACTGCTGCCAAGTTGTATATTTTTTTATAATTCTGGTGCTCATTTCATGAACACTTTACTTCCTCATGGAGATAAAAATAATAGAAATATATGAATAACTTTTTCTGAATATGGTAAAAGTGATTGAATTTTGAGTCAATCAAAGTATTTTTAAATACCCTAAAAGATAGTTACAATAATTTAATAGTTAAATAAAAATTTTCAAACAAAAAAGTTGAGAAAATGTCATTTTTCACAATTTTTTGATTTTTAAAATACCAATAATTTCGAAATTTATTATCGAATTAGGTTCAAAAATAGGTCAATCGAAGCGTTTTTTAATGCTCTACAAGTTGATAACGATAATTTTAAAGTTACTTCTACGTCTTTCAACAAAATTTTCAAAAAAGTCATATTTTCCAAAATTTTTGATTTTTAAAAGTTATTAAACTCCGGTTAGTATGGACGAAAAATGTTCAATTAGGGCTCAAAAGATGCGTCTAAAAAAATTCTACAAAATTATGGAAAAACATTTATAGGTGTCCTAACATTTTTTTAAGTTATGGGCAAAAAACGTTTTTTTCCAAAATTAAAAATCAAAAAAAAATTTAGTTAAACTTTATTAATATATCAGAAAGTACTCTCGCTTTATGTCCGCAGGTGAGATCTACAATTTAAAAAAAATTCAACCCAAAAGCTCTTCATGATTTCGAGATATTTATGAAAATGTGATGTTTACACACACACACACACATACGGAATGACATTTTTTTAAAATGTCATTTTTCAACTCCTGAGGTCAAATAACATAAAGATCCCAGTAAACGAAAACTAATTGAAATGAATTAAAAAGAATTCACAAAGAGCTTTCGTGAATCCCGCTTTGTGACAAATACGAATTGGAGCCATGATGCAATTTTCCTGAATTCGTGAAACTGTATTGAACTTCCGAACCTTCTATCCGTACCAATTCACTGGACAAGTTTTGAGCCTTTAATTTTTTTCAATTCGTTAGCACGAATTCAATGCATTCCTTGGCCATTTCTTTCGAATGCGAATTCGTTTGGACAAATTGGTACATATTGAATTAAATTCAATTGAATATACAAAGAGCTTGAGTGAATCCCGCTTTGTGACAAATACGAATTGGAGCCTACCAAAAATGTTAATTCGTTTCAATTCATTTGAATTAGTTTTTTTTTACTGGGATATGTAAAAAATTCGAACTCAAAAAATTTTGGTATTACAATACTTCCTCTATGAGGAAGTAATATTTATTCTAATTTGTTTAATTAAACCAACGAATAAAAAAATTGCTTTCTTTAAGTAGGAGGAGTTTAAATCTTTGTTACATTCTGTATATTTCTCATACATTTTTTTTCTTTCTCTCTCTGTTTTAAAATTATAATACGATATAAAATAGAGAATATCAAGTATTTTAACAAATATAAGAATTTATATCTTATTTTTTCCCAAAAATTCCTTGGAAATCATAAGGCTTAAAAGCATATACCCACACAACACCGAAACTTTCCTGAAAATTTATTAAAGATTTACTTGCAAACTTCGAAAAATTTACTTGCAAAGTTTAGTGGAAATTGTGTAAAGATTCAAATGCCCCACTTAAATAAATGTTTATAGTCAAATTTTCCTAAAAATTTAACTTAAAACTTTCCTGAACATTTAAATTAAATTTTCGACTTCACTTTTATAAGCGAAAATGTAACTTAAAACTTTCCTGAAAATTTAAATTAAATTTTCGCCTATATACAGTAGGCGAAATTTTTTTTTGAATTTTCAGGAAAGTTTCACGCTAAACATTTATTGAAGTGGGACATTTAAATCTTTACAAAATTTTCACTAAGCTTTTCAAGTAAATACTTCGAAGTTTGCAAGTAAATCTTTAATAAATTTTTAGGAAAGTTTCGGTGCTGTGTGGGTAGTAAATATTAACTAGATGATTTTTATCCTATTACACTGAGAAAATTGGATATTAAAAATCTTAATATTGTGACGCGACACGAGAAAAGGGACCTATCGTTAAAAAAATCGATTTTGAGATTATGGTGCTATTCGACAGATTATTCTTTGCTCTTTTACGTGAAAAAATCAAAAATTGAAAAACTTAAATAGTGTTAATAATATAAAGCCCGAAAGTTAAGCATGTACGCGTAAATACACGGGTTTTCTGCGCATGGCGTCGCTTTAAACGCTCTCCCTGTAAAATTCTCTTTTGCGGCGATAAGTCCCTTTTCTCGTGTCGCGTCACATTATTATACTAGATATTAAGAAAAGATGCTAATGCATATCATCCAGATGTTATGGTTTATAATATCTCAGATGTTAAAAAGTATAATCTGTAAATGTGAGGTTATGTTTGAACAAGTCTTTTTCCAATATCTTAGATATTAAATTTGAACATCTAAGAAGTTTACATTGTTCACTGTCACAGATATTGACCATTAATATCTAGATAATAAGGCTTAATATCTATTTTTCTCAGTGTATTCTTTGACATTCTCTAAATAAAAGTAGCAACCAAACATTCTGACTCATCAGAAATGTTTTCTACAAAGCAATTTGTACTGTGCTAAGTCCAAATAAGATAACTTAAAGACCCATTAGGGACTCCATACGTTGAGTATGATCACGGTATATATAGCTATACCTAAACATATTGCTAAATATAAATACTATTAAACATTTGATTAAAGTTAACAAACATTAACAAATAATCTTTATTATCGATTAAAAATGAAAGCATTAAACATTACATAAATTAAATAAATAATAATTAAAATTAATAAATGACAAACATTATCATTAACATAAATAATTAATTTTCAAACAAAAATTGTAAATTATTAATAATAATTTTTTACTATCAAAAATTATTAATTAATAATTCAATAGACTACACTAGAATAATAAGAAACAACCAATTGTTAATTAAGGGGACAGTCTTTTCATAGTGAAATTTATTTAAACATTTTAAAATTTTTACATATTATTACACATATATTAAACTAAATAAAAAAAATTTCTTTCTATATTTTTTGTTGTTAATAGCGAAGAAATGGCGACTGTAAAAAAAAATCTCGAAAATCTGGTTGACATGATATCTTTAGTCAGAACAGACGGAATCAAAAAATTCAAACGGATTATTAAAATATAGGTAAGTGGTTACAGCCTGAACTAAAATCATAATTTTTAACCTGTTTTTAAACAATTTTAGTTGCAAAAGAAGGGTGGAGATATCATGTCAACCAGATTTCCGAGATTTTTTTTATAGTCGCCATTTCTTGGCTATTAACAACAAAAAATATAGAAAGAAATTTTATTTAGTTTAATATATGTGTAATAATATGTAAAAAATTTAAAATGTTTAAATAAATTTCACTATGAGAAAAAAAATTCTTCAAAATACGTGCAAAAGACCCAGACTGACCCCTAAAGACGCTCTCACAGCTCTGCATGCATGCCAATGCATGCATAGTTGTCATGGTAACACATGAGAGTAAGTAAGTCAGAAAATTCAAATTTCATGTTTTTTCTCTCTTACTCTCATGCTGGCAGTAGAGCTGTGCGAGCGCCTTTAACAAAATTCAACTAATTTTTTAAAAATCATGTTAAAATAAAAATCCAAAAAACTAAATATGTTATAAAATTATAAATAATTAAACTACGTTATGAAAAATAATGTAAAATTATTATTAACTAAATTTATAATAATATTTTGTAAAATTTCAAAAACGTGGAATAATATCCCTACTATCTCCCAGGTAGAAGAATTTAATGGAAGCCTAGATATATGCTAGCGCCACCACTGGAATTTGCATGGCAGTTTATCTCGCCGACGTCTTCTAGCGCCTTGAATGGTGCGAGCACTTTTTGCTAGAATGCAACATAACCTCAAATTTCTGTTGCATAAACTGTCAAAGGTGTTTGCTTTTATTTTCAAAGTAAAAGTAAATGTTTGCTTGTAGAATATTGTGGCATTTAAAAACAATAATAGAAAAGGATTCTAAGTATTTATATATTTGTAATTGTATTAAATTTAAATATAAATTATTATTGCATTATAAATTTCTTGTTCATTCGTTAATTTATACACTTATTTATAAAAGAATTTTTAGTATATGAATGTCTTATTCAACCTCCAAGAAAATTTTTAAATATATTTTAAGTAATTAATCTAACGATTTATCACCAAGAATAACAATAAATACTTTTTTATGGATCAAATATATTATTAATTTCTCTCCATTCGAATTAGAAAACATAACCTCAAACTAGATTTATTTTTTTTTATTTTTAATTGACCTGACAGAAAAGATTTACTGATTTTAAATAGGAACTTAATTTTTTCAATTATTATTATTATTATTATTATTATTATTATTATTATTATTATAAAAGAATTGGTTAATATCAAAAATTTTAATTTCAATGTTTAACATGTGTAACTATTTTTGACACTGTTACTGTGAAGAAATAAATAATTTTTTATGGAAATTTAATAATAATTTATTCTTAAAATTTCCATATTTAAAAACAATTTTATACAGCAAATAATGATCAAAATTTTGATTAGGCTTGGGATTAAGAATAGGTTACCGTTTTCTGAATTAAAATCTATTACCATAACTTTAAACGAAATGTGTATTTATCTTCAAATACGTTTAAATTTCATTGCAGGCAGATAATTAGTAAATGTTTTTTATGTGTACACAATTTTTTTAATTATATTCGTCAAAAGAAATGACATAAGAATCATCTTTTAAATCGCGAAATAAAGTTTTGGCAGGTGAGGTTATGTTCATTCTAGCACTGCGAGCAGAATGCGAGAAAGGCGCTAGACTAAAAAAGTGTTTCAAATGCTCTCAGCGCCACTACAGCGCAATGGAACGCGAGAGTGGCACCATGCTAGCGCCACCAAATTTTTCTACTAGGGCTTGGAAAGATACTGACGTAGAGTACATCTCCTTAAAGACATAACTTATCTAAGTTTACCATTTTCTTCCGGAAAACCAATCCAACTATTTTATCCAACCTCTTTTTCCACTACCTTAAAAATATTTTCCCAAAAATCTTAGTGGGGACAAAACATTAAAAACAGTAACTCCAAGAGCATAGACATGCATTCATTCATTCATAATTGAGTCTTCAACTTGAAAAAAAGAAGTCTTATTTCATTTTATTCAGTCATTGACTTGAAAAATAAGTAGTTCAGTTCGTGTTTAAAATTTCGTTAGTTTCCAAGTTCATTTTTTTTAAATATACTTCAGTCCAGTATACACACAGAAAAATTCAAATCTTTCAATTCAGTTCATACTTTTAAGTTCAAATTAAAAAATTACACTTAGTCCTTCAACTAATCGCTTCAAGCCAAATTCACCTCAACAATAGATATTATTCCACGTTCGAGAAACAGTTTTAAAGAGATTTCGACTGCTAAATAAAAAGTAAGTTTAAAATTATTATAAAACTTATTAAATTCATCTTTTCTAACTTTGAATATACTCTTACACTTTTTGATGTAGTTGTTATACTATTTAAAAATCTATTTCTGTTTAACAATTCCAAAGAATTAAAATTGTAACCTATGTTCAATTCGAAAGTATTCCCAAACTATTAGAGTAGAGTCTAGGTTTGAAATAATTATTTAATAATAATAAATTATTAAATTAAAATAGTTTATGACACGTTCATAGGACGTAACATTTTATTTTAATTGATCTAAAATATCTTCTTATCTTTATATAGGGGTTAGGAACATATCTTTTATTATTTACAAATTTAATATTTTCTCCATTTTATCAACTGAACGAACAAGTAAACAAGTTGCTTTTTTAAATACGAGGAGTTTGAATCTCATTTTTATAGATAGAAAAATATCTTTCTGTAAATTGGAGAAGTTTCAATATTTTTCTAACAGTTTAACTAGTTTTAAGTTAATTTGTTGTATATTATATTTCATACGAATATTTTCAAAATAACATTTTGTTTTAATTATATACAATTACGGTTTGTCAATTAAGTCGTTTATTACAAAATTCTACTATTTTTAGAAAAACGGGAAAAATTGCTTATTTTATTTTTCTTAGTAACAATTTTGTAGCTCATTATTTCTATTTATTTTATTCTGTTTTTATTTTTTATATTCTATTATATATTATTAACTATCTTTGAAATTGATTAAATTGAAAAAAGATTATTTAGTTCACTGCAATAATACAAATCTCTAAAATTCATTTAAATAAAACAACCAAATATTAATTAAATATTTTGATTATTTTTCGCGATATTTGCATTGCAAATTTCTTGACATTTTTTTTCATTATATTATAACTCACTTATTTAAAAAAAATTTTTTAATTTGTTAAGAACTTTTTTTTTTTTTTTTTTTTAATTAAAAATTAAAAAATATCAATTTTTTAAATAATTTATTTATGAAATAATATTTATTTTTAATGTTTAAGCATGAGCCCTATCAGATTTTGTTTTAAAAAAAATCTTATTTTAAAATTTAAGATCTGATTAAAAAACCGTGAAATTTTCAGAATGGCATCTGTCTTTATTTTTTAGAAATAAATTGTCAAAGTTTTAATTGCACTCTCACGTCTACAGCCTACAATTTTTAACCAATTTGAGTGTTCTTTGTTTTAAATTAAATATATGGCGGTTTTCACGTCAAATGTCCATCAAAAAAAAAGTGTTGATGAATCAATCCCCAAATTTTTTTATGAGTTGTCCTATAAGTAAGTAATTTATCTGCCAAATATTTTTGAATTTTATTAAAAATTATGAGAAGCGGAGGGGGTAGAAGTTTTGAGTTTTGATGTAACACGCGCTACTTCGTTTATTTATTGTATTTAAACGAAACGATGAAAAATAATTTTCGAATATGGTATCTTTAGGTTTTTTCATAAGCTTTCGATTGCTGTAGTCCATTTTAGAAAATTTTTTGATTTTGACCAAAATTTTTGAAAATTAAGAATAAAATTTAATTTTTCTCATCTTCGGGCTCGTTTTTTTTTTTATTTTATTTTTATTGGAAAGCTGAGGTTTTTTCCCAAAAAATTGTTAATTTTCAGAAAACCGATTTTTTTTGTTTTCGAGAAATTAAATATTGAATATAGCGCGTCACGTTAGCGCGCGGACGCTCTGCGCTGCGCCGCTGTTCTGTACGGTGTGTAAAGATCATAAAAGTTATAAAAGGTAATTTGAACTTCTCTCTGCATTTTACAGGGTTGAGACTGCCATTAAAATAGTATAATGCCTGCATTATTGTTCTTTTTTTTTATTATTATTTTCTATTTTTTTTTACTTTTTTATATTTTTAAATTTTTTTTTACTTTTTTATATATTTTTAATTTTTTTTTACATTTTTTTTATGTTTTTTTTTCTTCTTAAAGTTTAACAATAAATAAAAAGGCTACAAAATCATGTTATTATCATTTATATTTATTTTTTGCCTTTGACTATTTTCTGGTTCCTTTTTGAACTTCTTTTTTTTAAACCTTTTATTGAACCACTTTTTGGAACTATTTTCTTGGCAACCTTTGATTCCACAAACACATCGTATTTTGTCTCTAACGAAGTTTTCTTCAGAAGTAATTTACCATCTTTCGCAGGTATAAAAACATGAAATTGTTTTGTTCCATTTATTGTGACGGCGTTTTGAAATCGTTTTTCTATTTTTTTAAAATCTACTTCCTGCTCTGATTTCTTACTGAAAAAAACTTCTGTTTCCTTGCAATGTTCTTTGCTCCATAGAAATAGCGATTCAGGAGTCAAAATGTGATCCTTGCCAGAACTTTGCAAGCTTGCTCGTGCAGCTCCCCTTTTCAAATTTGCTCCTACCCCATCACAAGCTCCTTTCCCATGAGCCGTGGCATGAAAATGACATTCTGCTGGAATATTAAAATCTTTTTCATGTGCTAAAAGATTAGCAAACATGCTTTTATTTTTAAATTGTTGACCAGCTCCATCAGTTATATAATACACTTTTTTTACTTCATATTTTGATTTCAAATAATCAAGTATTATTTTTTGATAGGAATAAACCGCAGCAGTGTCATGTGTTAGATTGTCTGAGATAATCGCCATACTCTTATGCTTAGTTTCATCGTTTATTTTAAAATAACAAACTACAGTAAATACTGTAGCTTGGTTGTTGTTCTAATGAAACGATTGCGTAGAATTTTGGACGACAAATGCATAATTTTCAGCAAAATCACAAGATATCACGAACTCGCCAGGAGACAATTTTGCTTTTAATTCTTTAACAAAACGTGATTGTTGATTTGCTATAAAATCATGAATTTTTAATTTTTCCAATCGTTTACAAAAATCTTCAACAAATTCATCGGGTGTCATAATAATAGTTTGGAGTGTGCATCTGTCTGTCTGCAACCAGGAATTGAATTTTATTTCATCTACATCATGTTCGTCGAGGAGTTCAATTAGAATTTTCTTAATTTCTTTAGTTCCAGGACAGTTTTTGCAGTCACCTAAAAAGCAAGAACTAGAAGAATTGCAGCATACAATGGAATTCAAACAGTCGCGGTAATCTTTTAAAACCAGATTTGAATTTTTGGTTAAGTATTCAATATCGATTGCATTGCATTGCAGCTTAAAATTTTCGTGATATAAACACACACAAACTGTGTGAGTTCCACTGCTTCCAGCGAAAACACAATGTAATGGCCTAAGCTGCGCGAATTTAGTGAAACCAACCTTTACACCTTCATGTTCTTTTTTAAATTCTGCATATAATTCGTTTAAATTTCGGAGTAATAATCTTTTTTGAACATGTTCCCGCTTTCCATTATCTTGTTTTACGGACACAAAGTCATTCATTCCTGGCATCAATCGACTTATATCATCATTATTATAAAAGGTTTTTACTAAAGCCACTGTCTCATCAGATAAACTTTTACCTTTTTTTTTACTTGGACATGTCATAATTCCATACTTGTTGGCTAATTCAACAGCTCTTCTTGCTTCTCGTTCAGTTGAGTTGAATTCTTTCATTAATTTTATACGACCAAAATATTTCGGTGCCAGTGTTAGTAAAGTTTTTCTTTCAGACTTCGAATTTGATTCCATAAACTTTTGTTTGATTTGATTTAAGGTTGTAATCCCTGCTTTGCAATATTCATTATTGCAGTTTTCTAACTTTTGTTTTTTATTTGGCGTAGGAAAGTCGTAATCGGAATCACTGCCTGTTTCTAATTTTTCACAAGAAGTGATTTCCTCATTTATAGACTGGAAAGGAATTTCTTCGTCTATAGATTGAGAAAACATTCCATCATTTGAAGATTCAATGTTAGATGTAGCAGGTAATTTTGAAAAGTCAAACTGACATGCTTTACAAATTTTTGAGCATTCCGGTAACTCTGGAAACTTGTCTTGCAAATTCTGAGAAACAGAACTCAAACCTGTCTTTTTGTTGTGATTTTTCTTTTTAAATGGATTAATGCACTTACTTCTCCAAACACTTTTCTTTTCTTCAAAGTCCATAATTTAATACAACACAAAAAAACGAAACCAATAAAACAAAAAATTTATGAAAATCAACTTACCTTTAAAATCCAATTAAATCTAAATAAATTTCTATCAATAAAACCAACACCGAAACGCTATCTAACTTCACCTGTATGTACAATAAAACAAAAAATTTATGAAATCCAACTTACCTTAAAAATCTAATTACAACTAAATAAAATTCTATTAATAAAAAAATATCCAAACTCTATTTAACTTCACTTGTAGGTAACTATGAATTCAATGTAGTATGAATAAGACTATGCTGCGCTGTCACTCACCTGTCGCTAGTAATTTGAAGTTCGTTATGCACCGTACAGTACAGCGGCGCAGCGCAGAGCGTCCGCGCGCTAACGTGACGCGCTATATTCAATATTTAATTTCTCGAAAACAAAAAAAATCGGTTTTCTGAAAATTAACAATTTTTTGGGAAAAAACCTCAGCTTTCCAATAAAAATAAAATAAAAAAAAAAAACGAGCCCGAAGATGAAAAAAATTAAATTTTATTCTTAATTTTCAAAAATTTTGGTCAAAATCAAAAAATTTTCTAAAATGGACTACAGCAATCGAAAGCTTATGAAAAAACCTAAAGATACCATATTCGAAAATTATTTTTCATCGTTTCGTTTAAATACAATAAATAAACGAAGTATCGCGTGTTACATCAAAACTCAAAACTTCTACCCCCTCCACTTCTCATAATTTTTTATAAAATTCAAAAATATTTGGCAGATAAATTACTTACTTATAGGACAACTCATAAAAAAATTTGGGGATTGATTCATCAACACTTTTTTTTTGGATGGACATTTGACGTGAAAACCGCCGTCACTTTTGTTTAAAAGATATTTTATTTAAATTGTAATAAACAATAAATTAATTAACAAATTGAAATAGTTCACTTTTGTTGATTAATAATGTTTATAACAATTTAAATAAGTTATTTTTTAAACAAGGAAAAGACACATATTCTTCAAAAGAACCTGAATAAAAAATTATTCATGGAAAAAAAACATTTGTTAGTGGAGAGGAATCAAAGTTAACTATTTGTTAATTAATATTGTTATAACAATTTAAATAAATTATTTTATGTTTTATTAATTGTCTGGTGGTCATATCCCAAGTAGAAACTTATTCCTGGATCCAACCATGACCGAAGTCTGGAAGCCCTGTTTGTTTAAATAAACCCGAAAATGGAATTATTAAAATAACATCTTTTAAATTTTTTTATTTGTGTCACGAATTTTCCAAAAATCTCGGAATTTTAACTTAATAATTCCTCGGACTCTACACGGAGAAAAATGGAAAAATGATTTATGCAGTCAGTGTAGCACATGCTATACCTTTCAAAAAATTTATCCAACAATTAACTTCACTTCATATAAAAACAATAGGAATTCTGAAGTGTACCGATGGTTTTTTAAGCCTGTTCTTAATGAGATAATTAAATTTTCTTTATAGCATTTTATTCTAGGTAGAATTTGAAAGTATTACAAAAAAAGATTTTAGGGCCCGCATTTTATTTACAAATTACAGCCATTTTTGTTACGCGCTGTAACAAAGACATGGCGCGTGCAGTTTCGCGGGCGGTCGCACTGCCGCGTTATATGCGTTAAATTGGTTTCAATTTGTTAGTTAGGGATCAGTTTAAAAGTAATTCATTTTTTTCGAAAAAGGTGTTAAAAAATTAAATTGTTAATAACTTTTTAAAAAACAAATTTTTTTAAAAAACTACCCAGTAAAAAAACTAATTCAAACGGATTGAAATGAATTAAGATTTTTGGTAGAAAGCGGGATTCATTCAAGCTCTTTGTATATTCGATTGAATTCGATTTAATTTGCCTGAAGTTGTGCAAACGAATTTGCATTCGTATTAAGAAATGACCAAGGCATGCATTGAATTCGTGCTGACGAATTAAAAAAAATTAAAGGCCCCAAAACTTGTCCATTGAATTAGTAAGAATAGAAGTTACTAATGGTTTGGAAGTTCAATACAGTTTGACGAATTCAGGAAAATTGCAATATAGCTCCAATTCGTATTTGTCACAAAGCGGGATTCACTGAAACTCTTTGTGAATTCTTTTTAATTTATTTCAATTAGTTTTTGTTTACTGGGTATTTTCAGGTGTTGTTTTTATCATTATTTACTTTTAAAATATAGTGTTTGAGTAAAATTAAAATACCCTTCAATAATCATGAGTACACTTCAGAAAGCCTTACCCATAAACAATTATCAAAAGAAAAAATCGTTTTAAACAAAAAAATTTTTTTTTAATTTCTTTAAAATTTTTCTTAAATAATTTTTTTGTAATCAGTCTGTAAAAATACACTAGTATAACAATTTTTAGCTAATTAGGTCAAATAATGTAGAGTCCGAGGAATTATTAAGTTGAAATTTCGAAATTTTTGGAAAATCCGTGACACAAAAAAATTCAAAAGATGTTATTTTAATAATTCAATTTTTGTGTTTACTTATACAAACAGGGTCATGCAAATGATGACAAGAAATGTCTAAATAAATGATCTGATAAAAATTTTAAAAGACGAGATACCAATTACAAAACTTGGATGGCCCACAGTTAATCATGGGGCAAAGCTAGGGAAATTTCTACTTGGGTATTGGATTACTTTAAACTGATTTAAATCATGTGCAATAACGGAATAAGAAATTAAACGTCCTTTTTACAAAATTGTATTAATTTGTTTAAAATAAAAAATTATAAACAATTAATATCTTATAAATCGGCCTCGAGGGATTCCCCTTTAATTTAAAACAAAGAACACTCAAATTGGTTAAAAATTGTAGGCTGTCGACATTTTTGAACAGTGAATTGTAAAAAAAAACCCCACTGTTAGCCGGCGCGCGAGAGTGCAATTAAAACTTTGACAAATTTATTACTAAAAAACAAAGACAGATGCCATTCTCAAAATTTCACGGTTTTTTAATGAGATCTTAAATTTTAAAATAAGATTTTTCTAAAATAATATTTTATTAGGTAATAAATTATTTAAAAAATTTATATTTTTTAATTTTCAATTTTTTTATTAAACTTCAATGTTTTTTTAATTATAAAAGGTTCGTAACAAATTTAAAATTTTTTTAAAAATAAGTGAGTTATAATATAATGAAAAAAAATGTCAAGAAATTTGCAATGTAAATATCGTGAAAAATAATCAAAATATTTAATTAATACTTTGTACAGTTGTTTAGGACCCAAAATACTATTAATAAACAAAATATAAAAAAAAATTTAAGACATGAACCTTAACTCTCCCGCGAAACGACCCATAAAATACTGCATAAATTTCATCTACAACTATTCCTTTATCATCCCCAATAGTTTATTTTGCAAATATTTAATTAAATAATTCTTTTACTCTAATCAAAACTACCTTACATTCACTCTCTGCCCAGTCCCAAATTAAAAGTAGTTTAACTTTCTTACAAAATGATGGAGTCATTTCCAATACTGAAATACTTCTTACAGATCAAAGATATAACGTGCTACTTAGTGTAGTTACATTCATGATGACTGAAGAAGATCGGCTTCACTTCTGGAATGCGAAAATAACTGAAACGCAGCATGCTCAGCACTCCGGCTGGTTGGTGACTGGATACAGTGTCCAAGATGTCGAAGATCAATGCATCGGTAAAGAATTTGACTATGAGCAACTCAAAACTGATTTCAAAACGTTTTGTACGGATTTTGAGAAGATACCGACTACAAAGGAGACATATATGCAGCAGTATTTATTTGCTTCGAAGGTGCTGTTTGATATCGGTCCATATTCAAGACAGTTAAAAAGGAATAACCCTGAAAATAATTGGAGGTTTAAATTTAATTGCCATCCAGTGGTTAAGAATGACGATGATGAACAATGGGTAGTATTGTCTGCACAAGCAGCAAGTTTTGATGTTGAAAACCTCAACAAGGAAGATGCAATAAAATATCAAACAATTGCTAGCGATTTGAGAAGAAGAGAGGAATTTCTCAATAATGAAGCCATGAAGATGAAGACCATAAAGACAGTAAATGTTTCAACCCACAAGAACTCAACTTATAACCATAAGGTTACAAAACAGAACATGGACTTGTCAGTCAACCAAGCTTCATTACTTGCTCTGAGTGCAATTGCAACACTTTCAGAATTTCTGGATGATAAGAAATTGATTAGGACACCACTCTCTAAGGCTATATTCCCTGATGAAGGCATAGATGACATAGCTGACATCTTAAATACCGACCGTAAAGAAACAGTTCAGGTCCTGAATGAGAGTTGTGAGAGTATAGGTCATTATCTTGACAAATCAAATGGATCCGTGGCTGTTGTTGCTGCCCTTACCTTAACAAAGAATACAAAAGAGCAACTGAGAAATAATATTGTCACCAAGGTAGTGAAACAATACCTGAAAGTCGGAAAAAGTATCGAAAGAGAATTGATCAGGAAACTTGCAGGACTGGCTACAGGTGGTGTAGCTCTTGAAATGTTAATGTCTAAAGATATTCGATGATGCACAGATCTCAAAGAACAGTGGTCTGTCTGAAGCTGGCGGAGCAATCGCAAGGAAAAAGTGACGAGGCTCACTGAAAAACGTGTCAGTACAAAGTACCAGTACTGCCATTATTAATCTTCATTTATTTTATTTAAATGAAACTCACTTTGTAAAGACTAATAGTACTGTGATAAAAGAATTTGTTCTTATAATAAAAAATACTATTATTACATATATTGAAATATGAAAAAAATTTTATTTTTGAATTATATTTCATATTCAAAGTCGACTATTTTTTTCGGCCGGAATAGTTTTTAAAAAGTTTAAGTTTAAGGAAAAAAACAAAAAAAATTCCATAATCTATATAGGTAAACAAACTTTTGAAGTACATATGGATTTTTTAATTGGATATAAATTATATTTTTTATAAACTCAGACTTCGCACTCGATAACTAATTTTAAAAAAATAGCAAAAAGTAGCTTTCAAACTAAAAAAGGTATAATTTGTTTAGTTTAATTTTTTTATAGCTATAGAGCTATCAAAAAATTAAAGTTGACGACCAAAAAACTCCTGTTAGACAATTCACAAAAGTGACAAAAATTCCATTCTATACTTTATTTTCTTGACTTTTTCCTAATTTTCATCAAAAATATTTATTTCTTTTTTATCTTGCTAATGAATTAAATTCCTGCAATAAATTTTATTATCAAAGAATTTAAATATTTATAAAAATAATTGAATTTTTGCGAAGAATTTTATGAAAATTTTTAAATAATTGATATCTTTCGACTAATTTTATGCAAATTCTAATTTAAATAATTGAATTTCTGAGAAATTTTTAATATTTATGAAAAAAACTGAATTCTTACGAAGATTTTTGCAAAAATTTTTTTAAATAATTGAATTCTGTTTGGAAATTTTATGAAAATAGTAGATACTAAAAATCATTGAATTGTGAAAAGTTTTTAAAAATAATTAAATTTTACAAAGAATTTTATTAAAATGCTTCAAAATAATTGAATTTTCGGGAATAATTTTGTTATTTATCGATATAATTGAATTCTTTCGAAGAATTATTTATGTAAATAATTGAATTCTTGGGAAGAATTTTATTAAAATCCAAAAGGAATAATTGAATTATTTTTAAAAAAATTAATTAAAATTGTATTTAAAATAATTGATTTTTTCAAGGAATTAAAATTAAATTTTTAAGAATAATTACATGTTTTGAACAATTCTTGTAAAATTAATTAAATCCTACGATGAATTTTATTAAAATTCTCAAAAATAATTAAATTCCTGAGAAAAATTAATGAGTAATTTGAATTAATTGAATTCTTGTGAAGAATTTTATTAAAATCTAAAAGAATAATTGAATTTTTTCATAAAAATTTAATTCAAATTGTATTTAAAATAAAATTTTGAAAAATAATTGAATTATTAAAAAAATTTTATTAAAATGTTTAAAAGAATAAAATTTCTGTGAAAAATTTTATTATTTTTGAAAACAATTGAATTCTGGTCCAAAACTTTATTTGTGATAATAATTGAATTTTTCGATTAATTAATTTGAAATAGTATTAAAAATAATTGAAATTGTTCGATGAGTTTTATTATTTATGAAAATAATTGAATTCTTGCTTAGAATTTTATCAAAAATTTGTTTAAAAAATCGAATTTTTATGAAAAATTTTATTATTAGTGAAAGTAATTGAATTATTGTGAATAATTGTGTAAAAATTTTGTTAAATAATTGATTTTTTGGAAATTTTATTATTTATGGAAATAATTGAATTTTGAATGAATTTTATCAATTTTTTTAAAATAATTGAATTCTTTTGCGAAATTTAATGAAAATACTATAGATATTGAAAATAATTGAGGCCTTGGATCGAATAACTCGCCCGATGCTCGGAGGAACGCGCTAATACCAGTCGGGTAGCAGTGAGTGGCCCAGAGGCGCTCACTGCTCACTGACTGGCAGTTGCGCGTTCCTCCGAGCGTCGGGCGAGTTATTCGATCCAAGGCCTCAATTGAATTTGGAATATTTTTTGAAAATAATTAAATCGTTTTAAGGGGAGACCCCACCTTTATTTTGACTCCTTTAAAATAAAATTATTAAACGAGGTAATATTTTTTTCTTGCATCATTTTTAACCTGAAAACATATAAAATGGTCAAAAATATTTAATTTTAATTTTTGAAGAGGTTAGAATTTTTTTCTTTTGACCTATTGCATATTATTGCAAATCCATGCGAGAATTTGTTTAGAATGGTAAAATATGTAAGGAAAAAAAATTTCGTTGAAAAATATTAAAAACTGTAAGAGAAGATCAATTTTTAATATTCAAATCTTTAACTTTTGCCGAAATTTCGAAAGCCTTAAATCTTTAATTTTTTTCCAAATTGTGTATATTTACGTAATTTTATGCTATTATTCAAAAAACATTGTTAAAATTGACATTTAGCTGATTTTCGTGGTAAAAACCATAAAAATCATAGTTCGAAGCTTTTATGGTATACTTTATATATACCGAAATAAATGCAAAAAGCCATGATTTTTATAGTTTTTACCATGAAAATGAGCTAATCGTCAATTTTAACTATGTTTTTTCGACTCAGAGCATCAAATTGGAAAAAATAAAGGTTCAGAACTTCCGAAATTTCGGCAAAATTTAAAGATTTGAATATTAAATATCGATCTTCTCTTACAGTTTTTAATATTTTTTAACGAAAATTTTTTTCCATGCATATTTTACCATTCTAAACAACTTCTCGCATGGATTTGCAAAAATATGCAATAGGTCAAAAGAAAAAAATTCTAACCTCTTTAAAAATTAAAATTAAATATTTTTTACCATCCTATATGTTTTCAGGCAAAAAATGATGCAAGAAAAATAATATTACCTCGTTTAATAATTTTATTTTAAAGGGGTCAAAATAAATGTGGGGTCTCACCTTAAAGAATTTGATTATAATTTATGAGAATAGTTTTTTGATTTCTAGTATTAGCGAATTTAAAGTAGTGGAAATTCTAAAAAAAAAATAGAAATAGTAGCTTTTAGTGGCTGAAATCTAAAAAAAGTACTCAAATAGCATAACGTAAAAAAGTAGTAAATAGTAGGTTTTAATAGATGATTGCGAAGCCTGTAAACTATTTACTATTTATTTTTTGACAAAAAATCGATTAATTTACTCAAAAATTGCGCCATTTTTACAAAAATTGATATAAAAAATCCTATATGTACTTCTAAAGTTTATGTTATATAGATCATAAAATTACTTTGTTCTCTGTTCCAGGACTTAAACTTCTTTTTATTTTTGTTATTTATATTAAAGGATATATATACAAAATAACTAAATTCATGATTACATCAAATGAAAATTCTCTACACGGGATAGTTATTGAATATAAATTCAATTTTCTAATGTTAATTATTCTAACTACGTTTAGTAGTAATTTTACAACATAAAAACAGCAACTCAGTTTTAGATACATTAACTATGAAATCTTAATTAAAATGCTGCTGAATATGGTAGTTTCAACTACTCATACAAGTAGTGTTTTTACCAATGATATTGTTTTCTTTGTACAATAGCAACTTATAAATTAAAATATGCATCTGAAAGAATTCAATAAAACAAACAAAATGTCTATAGATGTTTTAAAAATTTTATTTAAAAAATTATAAAGTTGATACTCTATATCACGTATATAACTTTTGCTCTCATTAAAATATCTAATCTTTGACTTTCATATTACATAACGTCAGAATTATTTTATCTTAAAAATATAAATATGTATTGGTGTGTTATGATAAACAGTGCATTTATAAATTGATATTTCTATTGATTTCTTAATGAATATAATATAAAATATAATTTTGTCAATTAATAAACAATAATATTGTAAAGAGTCGGCCACTAGGGCATGTACCTTAAATTTATAGAATTTAAAATAGAAAACTGTAAAAAAGATTTTCAGAATTTTGATTCTTAAATACAATTTTTTACACGTATTAATCCATACTTGGTCCACTTTTAATATTATTCTTTAATTTCCTTGTCATGATTGTAATCTCTAATTTTCAAAATAATGAAATACGTTACTAAATTGAATATTTTTGATTATTAAACTGTTTTTTTAAATTAAAGTAATTTATATATTAAGCCCTATCGTATGTAAGGAAAAATATATAGAACTAAAAAAACTTTAAATGAGTAACAAAAATTAGAAAATTTTATCAAGTGAGAGTGAATATGACATAATTTAACACAATGTAATAATATTACATCAACTTGGCATGATCAAATCTCCAGGTTATTTAAAAACAATTTCTTTGGAAAAATAATGTATAACAGAAAAAAGTCACTGTTTAATAGAATGTACTGCCTTTTTCGCAGCTTCATCCAAATCATTTGCAGTTAATATTGGCAAACCAGACTCAGACAAAATCTTTTTAGCCTCTGTTACATTTGTACCTTAAATTAGAAAATAAACATAAAATTTGTAAATAAAATTATTTAATTGTTTCAGACATTTAAAATAATTTAATAATAATAATAATAATAATAATTTATATTGGAAAATTTTATACTTAACATTTAATGAGTATACTTTTGCAATAAAAAATAATTCATTTTTGAAACATTAAGAAAATCATTTAAATTACCTATGTTAATTAAAAATATTTAGTTACCTTCTAATCTCACAACCAGTGGCAATTTTAGACCCAAATTACGGGATGCTGAAATAATTCCTTTGGCTATCGTCGCACAGTTAACAATTCCTCCAAAAACGTTTACAAGAATGGCTTTTACTTTGGGATCTATTAATGGATTATAAAACAAAAAGAAAATTTCTATTATCTTTAGAAATAATTAAATTCTTCTCCGAAATTCAATTATTTTCAAAAATTTTAATGAAATTCTTGGCAAAATTTTAATTATTTTCAAAAATTTTCCTCAATTCAATGATTTTTAATTTTTACTATTTTAATAAAATTCTCCACAATAATTCAATTATTTAAAGACCCCCCTCCTCCTTAAATGCTTACGTAATACTTGAATGGTCCCTAAATAATAACATTCTTTTTAGGAATTAAATTATTTTCATAAATAATAAAACTCATCGCAGAGTTTCAATTTTTTTTAATACAATTTTAATCGAATTCCTCGAAAAGTGTAATTATTTTTTTAAATTTTATTAAAATTCGTCAACAGAATTCGTTTATTTAAAAATTTATTGATAAAATTCTTTATGAGAATTTGAATTTTAAGAAACTTTAAATTATTCAATAAATTATTTTTTGTATTTAAATAATTGAATTCTAGTAGAATTTTATAATAAATATTGATTTAAAAATTAATTTCAGTTAAAAACAAATCAATTTTGAAAATTCTCAAAAACTATTTCAAAAATTAATAAAAATAATGGATTTCTATAAAAATTTTAGTTAAAATTAAAAAAAAATTAATTTTGTAAAAGTTACAAATTATTGCAGTAATCCAATTATTTTCATGAGTAATAAAATCCTTCGCAGATTTAATTATGTTAAAAAAAAGTAAAATTCTTCTTAGAAATTCAATTATTTTCATAAATAATAAAACTCATCGCAATTGAATTTTAAGAAACATTCAATTATTCAATAAATTATTTATTTTTGTTTTTAAATAATTTTAAATTCTCGTAAAATTTTCTAATAAAAATTGATTTAAAAATTAATTTCAGTTAAAATTTTAGATAATAATTGAATATTAAAAGCAATAATTATAGGATGAATTTTTAGAAATAATTGAATTTTGAAATGAATTTTTTTGAAAAAGTTTAATTGCATTTTTTTATATTATTTTAAGTTTTTATTTTCTAATATTTATTTAATTGAAGAATTTATGAATTATTGAAATTTCATAAAATTGAATATTGTAAAGAAATAGTTTTGAAAATTGTCAAAGAACTTTTTGGAAAATTATTAAAATAAATTGATTTAAAGAAGAATTTTAGTTAAAAATTTTTGAAAATAATAATTGAATTGATAATGATTTTATCACTCGGTCATCTTTAATTATTATAAAACATGAAGAAATCGATCACTCCGAGTCAGAGACTCGGATTATTGATATCTTCATGTTTTATAGAATTTTGAAAAATTTAATTTATAGTTTGAACTACAATGTTCTCTTATTTGTCTCGGACTGTATATATTTTTGTCAAATTGGTCCGTATTTTTAAATATGTACTTTCACTGATTCGAGCCCTGAAGTTTGCAAAAATGATCTAAATTTACCTTCTGTGAGAATTCTGAATGCTTGATAAACTTGTTCTTCTTTTACACCACCTCCAACGTCCAAAAAATTTGCAGGTTCACCACCATTTAATTTAATTATGTCCATTGTAGCCATAGCCAAACCGGCGCCATTCACTGTAGTAATACAGAATAAAAATTCAAATTAAAATCAAAAAAACGTCCATTAGCTTAAAATAAAAATTGAATAACAAAAAATACACAATTGAAAAGAAAAATAATAAATAATAAAATAATAAATTTTTAAAGAAAACAAAATAATTTTTAATAACTAATAACAAAAAATCACCTAAGCATCCAATATTTCCATTCATAGAGACGTAGTTCAAATTATATTTCGTTGCATCGGCCTCTCTTGGATCTTTTTCGCTATCATCTTCCAGTGCAAAAATATCCTTCTGTCTAAATTCAGCATTATCATCGAAGGATATTTTAGCATCGACTGCAACAACTTGCTTATCAGTGGTTTCCACCAAAGGATTTATTTCAACTTGAAGAGCGTCTATGTCAACAAATAATCGCCACAAGTTTTTCAGTTCAAAAATTGCCTTCTCCAGGATTTCGCTCTCTTTAAAGCCAAGAAATTCAGCAAACTCTTTTGCTATTTCATCGTCAATGCCATAATAAATATCAAGTGCTTTGGTTTTTATTAATTCTGGTGTTTTCTCGGCAACGGCCTCTATGTCCATGCCCCCTGCTGGAGATGCCATCAGAACAGGTCCATTATACTGACGATCCATCAAAATACAGACGTACGTCTCCCGAGCAATATTCACCGATTCTGCTATCATTACTTTTTGAACTAAAATCCCATCCTTCGATGTTTGCTTCGTTATCAAGCGATGACCTAACATATTTTTTACAGTTTCTTCTACAATTTTACGACTGTAATGTGAAAAAAAATATTTGTTAATAAAATTCATTTTTACAAAATTACTATAAAAATTTTTCATTTTTATAGATTTTTTTCTCAGACAAAATTTTATGTTTGTAAATATTATTTATATAAATCGTATATGATATAATTTTTTCTTTCGTACCAGTTTCATATTCCTTTATGATAATAGTTAAGAAGACCTAAAAAAACATGTACTTATTTATTTATATAATTTAAGGTGATATTTTGTTCTAATAATTTTTATGTTTTTACTATAGAAAATTTGACAATTAAATACGACATTGAAAAATTAATTTTTAATTGTATAAGAAGTAAAAAGTTTTGGATAAAATAATTTACAGTTTACATAATCAAAATGAGATGGCAAACGAAAGATTTTAAATGTAAGAAAAACCACATGATTAAATGTTTCACTTCTGACAATTTTTTGCTACAATTGTTTAACGCTTTTCTTATTTGATTCAATTTTCAATTTTTCCTGTCTTACCTTGTCCACAGAAAAATAAATTTTATTATAGACCAGGTTAGAAAGAGGTATTAACTCATTTATAAGAAGTTACTATTTATAATAATTTAAAACTTATTTATATTTTGAAAAATCTCTCTTCTGTAATTAATAATTTGAAACTGTTTGTAGAAAGATAATTTTTGTTAGAAAGAAATAAAAAAAAAGAAAAATTTAATTTCTTAAGCTCTAAAGCATTGAATAATGTTTTCTAATAATTAAAGATGACCAAGTGATATTGAAAATTATTTTCATCATTTTAATTCAATTATTATTTTCTAGAGTTTTTAACTTAAATTCTTCTTTAAATCAATTATTTCAATAATTTTTGAAAAAGTTCTTTGAGAATTTTCAAATCCATTCCAGAAAAAAAAAAATTTCTGAAAAATATTCAATTAAACTTTTTCAAAAAAATTAATTCCGCAGAATTGTTAGTTAAAAGTATGAAAAATTTAGATTTTTAAAGATTTTATTTTAAAACCTTTTCAAAATTCAATAATTATTTCTAAAAATTCACGATATAATGCTTTTAATATTCAATATTAACTATTCTCTAAAATTTTAACTGAAATTCATTTTTAAATTAATTTTTATTAGAAAATTCTACGGGAAATCAATTATTTCAATACAAAAATAAATAATTTATTCAGTAATTGAATTTAATTTCCGACGAATTCAATTAAAAATGTATTAAAAATAATTGAAATTTATTATTTATGAAAATAATTGAATTCCAGTGAAATTTGTATTATTTATGAAAATAATTCATTGTTTGCGTAGAATTTTATCGAAATTTTTTTTAGGAGAGCACAGTTGTATTTGGGCAGCTCCATACGAAAAGCAAATGGTGGATCACCGATTTTTCTTAAAGTTTGTAATTTTGTAGTACTTGGGGTACTAAATAACTGTGCCAAACAGTTTTGCAAAAAAAAAATTTTTTTGCAAGATATTTAGATTTGAAAAGTCGGAAACTGAAAAAAATGACTTTTTTTGAGAATTTTTATTTCGAAAACTATTGATTCTACAAGAAAAAGTCATTTATTCAAAATTGTAGAGAAAATGTCAATTTTTTATAATATTAAAAAAAAAGTTAAGAAAAATTAATTTTTCAATAATTTGTTTAAACAATAATTTTTTATTGTTAAAAAAAGAGCAAAGGACATTATGGAATATTCTAGAAAAATAATTTTCTCAAAACTTGAACCTTCCTTAATAAGTGGTTTAATTTTTAAAGAAGTGATTTTTGGTGTTTTTGAGAAAAAAATTTTTGAAGTTTGCGCTACGAGTTTTTGTGCGTTGCGCTAACTAAGCAGCACCTATATCAGTGTATTTTAAAAGATAATATGACCTTTACTGCTCGCCCCTAATACATTTATTAATTATATACGTATATATATATATATATATATATATATATATATATATATATATTATTATAAACAGTTTAACAATATATTTTTAACTTTTTTATAAACATTATTTTCCTTTTTTAACGCATTAATGCCCATGGGCACAGGGACGCAGATATAAAAAGTAACTATTGGGATCCTGGCATAGGGTCTAATAATAATTTTTAACGTTAAAAATTTAAAAAAAAATTTATTTAGACAATTTGTTATAAACAAATGAAAAAAAATTAATTTTCATAAAAAACTGATAGCGCCATTCGATTCGACGCAAAAAACTACTACGAGAACGTATATTATATAATTTTTAAAAAAAGACATATTGTTGTAAAAATGTTATAAACAATTAGCCTGCATTTATACTGTACGAGATAGAAGGATCGTTTTTAAAGTTAATAATTTTGTTTACAAAATTTTTGACGTCAAAAACTCTCCTAATTAAACTAATTTTGTTTAAAAAAATTATTAACTTTAAAAACGATCCTTCTATCTCGTACAGTATAAATGCATGCTAATTATTTATAACATTTTTACAACAATATGTCTTTTTTTAAAAATTATATAATAAACGTTCTCGTAGTAGTTTTTTGCGTCGAATCGAATGGCGCTATTAGTTTTTTATGAAAATTAATTTTTCTTCATTTGTTTATAACAAATTGTTTAAAATTTTTTTTTTTAATTTTTAACGTTAAAAATTATTATTAGACCCTATGCCAGGATCCCAACATTTACTTTTCATAACGCGGTGCAAAAAAGGTCACTTTTTTGCACCTTGTTATGAAAAATATCGTTCGTAACTAGTGCTAGCAGTTGGCAATTTTTGAACGACCACTTTTTTTGGAACAAACTGTAGGCGAAGCTTCGCTTCGCCTACAGTTCGTTCCAAAAAAGTGCTCATTCAAAAATTGCCAACTGCTCGCACTCGTTACGAAATATACTATTTTATACCTGCGTTCCTGTGCCCATGGGCATTAATGGGTTAAAAATGGAAAATAATGTTTATAAAAAAGTTTAAAATATATTGTTAAACTGTTTATAATAATAATATATATATACGTATATAATTAATAAATGTATTAGGGGCGAGCAGTAAAGATCATATCATCTTTAAAAATACACTGATATAGGCGCAGCTTAGTTAGCGCAACGCACAAAAACTCGTAGCGCAAACTTCAAAATTTTTTTTCTCAAAAACACCAAAAATCACTTCTTTAAAAATTAAACCACTTATTAAGGAAGGTTCAAGTTTTGAGAAAATTATTTTTCTAGAATATTCCATAATGTCCTTTGCTCTTTTTTTAACAATAAAAAATTATTGTTTAAACAAATTATTGAAAAATTAATTTTTCTTAACTTTTTTTTTAATATTATAAAAAATTGACATTTTCTCTACAATTTTGAATAAATAACTTTTTCTTGTGGAATCAATAGTTTTTGAAATGAAAATTCTCAAAAAAAGTCATTTTTTTCAGTTTCCGATTTTTCAAATCTAAATATCTTGCAAAAAAAATTTTTTTTTTGCAAAACTGTTTGGCACAGTTATTTAGTACCCCAAGTACTACAAAATTACAAACTTTAAGAAAAATCGGTGATCCACCATTTGCTTTTCGTATGGAGCTGCCCATTTTTAACTGTATCAAGAAAATAATTTAATTATTTACCTTAAAAATAATTTTATGCATAAAATTATTTCTAAGGTAATTTTTGGTGAGGAATTCAACCCTCATAAATTAAAATCCGTCAGAAAATATTTTGACCCTTTTTGAATTGATTTTTACAATTTTTGAAACATTTTTTTTAAATAAAACTTTGTTTTTTGGCTTACAATGCAAAAAATACTATTATTATTCAATTTTTTCATTTAAAAATTCATTTGTTTATTTTTCTAACTAATTTCAGATCTTAATTTTATCATAAATTTTTTGTATTTGGTATTTTTATAGTATATTAAAATTATGATCTAGAATTAGTTAGAAAAATAAACAAATGAATTTTCAAATAAAAAAATTGAATAATAATGTTTTTTTTTCATTTTCAGCCTAAGAACAAAGTTTTATTTAAAAAAAAAATCTGTCCGCGCAAGCGCGGACACATTCTCGTCCGCGCTTCGCGCGGGGGCTCGCTTCGCTCGCAAGTTTCAGCGCGCCTCGGGGCGCGCGAATATTGATCGTCGCGCTTCGCGCTCCGTGTGTTGTTGCGCGCAAATGGCTCGCTTCGCTTGCGGCGGTCTGCAATTGTTGTGCATTATTTGTGTTCTTGTTCTTGTTTCCTATTATATGTTTCGTAAAACATTTTTTTTTCTTAAAGTTACTACGACTTTAAGGATTACATTCTCATCACATGTTTTTGTTTGCTGATGATTGCGAGATAAAGTGGATTAAAATGTATATTTTTGGTCTTGATGATTTAAATTGTGAAGTTATTTTTAATTATACTAACTCTTAGTAGAAATATTATTTGCAGAAGCAGATAAAATATTCTTAAAGTATTAGTATCAAGGTTTTTGTGTAGTGTAGACCGGAGCGTAATGGCTAACTTTTCACTCTTTGTTGATTTACACGGACATTTTTGTTTTAATTAAGTGTTTATCTCCTAGAAAAGTTACTCTAGTACCTCAGCTTTCTTTTAAAAAGTCGAACGTTCCTATATTACGCTTACTTTTTTTTCTACAATGAACGTACACTTCGTCGGTATCGTAGGTATTGCTCTTTCCCGTGTAGAAATTTGTCGTGGCCTTCCTAGAAATAGACTACAGCTAGATAGCATTTGTCGTGGAAAATTATTCTGAATAAACTGTCCTGGCCCCGAAATGTTAATGTACAGTTTTCCCCTTTATTTTCTTCGCTATGAAGACAGTCTAGAATCTGTCTAAAATTTGTCTAGGATACTGAATTGAAAATTCAGTACAAGTTCGTATAGCAGGTTGTCCAAGAATTAGCTGGGCACTGTCTAGGACGCTGACTTAAGAATTTAGTACAAGTTCGTGGAGAAGGTGGCTCTGAGAGTCTACTAAGCTAGCAGACGAAATCAGTTCTTGACGTAGTGCTTGATGAAAAGAAACCAAGAGTCTACAATTGTAACTTATCTTGTTGTGAAGATAAAATCAAATTTATAAATCTAGTGAAAAGTTTTCAGTTTTCCATTTTTGAACAGGGACAGTGTACAAGTTTAAATATATTACAGCGAAAAAAAGATTTATTAGAAAAAGGACATGTGATGTCATCATTAATAGTCTAGATTGTTTTTCATATTATAATGTTCATAATAAGTAATAAAACTTTGGTAATTTTAAGTAAATTTTTTGTGATTGCAACAATATAATATACAATTAATTTTATTATCGGTATACAAGTACGAATCTTTATAGTGAATGTGTTTGTGTTTTAAAGAAAAAATCCAATGTAGCAAAATATGTTACAATTAATTTCAAAAATAATTGTAAGAGGAATTGTGATAATAACAAATACTTTTGTATTACTGTTTTGTTTGTTTAAAAGTTAAACAAACAAAAGAGTAAAGTTGAAAAATATTGTTCTATTATTTATAAACCTAACAATTATTCCCAGTATGTAGAAACTGCTTATTTTAATATCCAGGAACTGGCTAGGAATGATTTATTTTACTAGACAAGGACTAGACAAAATAACTGTACAAAATCTTGACGTTGCTAGTGTTACATCCCTCGTTCAAGCCTGTCCATTTTTCCCATCTAGTTGCTAGATTGAATCTAGCGCAACTGGACAGTTTCTCATACACTTCCACGGTAAATTTCTACACGGGTTATACATAGCGTGTTGCATTAGCCAACACGCCCTAGGGGTACTTAGGAAATATTTTGTAATTTTTATCAATACAGTAAGTGTGAATCAAAAATCTAAAATTGACCCTCAAAAAATGTTTCAAGCTTAAAACGCGATTTTAGTTTCTTTTATAAAGTTATTTTAAAAAAATTAGAATGAAAAAATGAAAATTTTGAAAAGTTACTTTCATATGTGAAATACAGATTTTCTACTATATTTCTTACAATAGTTATTGAATAATAAATAATCAACCTTTGTAGAAACTTGCAGTACATCAAGTTGTCTTTGGAGTGAAATCATTTCGATTTACGATTTTTAAATAAATTACAATTATTCATTACGCCCCTTAGCCATTATGTCCCGTTTTCCCTATATACGTGATTTGTAAATATATATCAAGTGTATGATTAAAAACATGTAAATTTGGATACAGTGAATGTGATATTTACCCATCGCTTTAACAAGCAAAAGTAAAACACCTCCACTAAGCTGAGACAAAAAGTCAAAAAGTCAAAAATTCAAAAAAAGTTTTTGAAAAAATTAAGTTTTTCAAAAGTTATCGTCGGACAGACAGACAGACAGACGTAATCGACAGACCATGTTTCTTGGATTCAGGGCACCTCAAAACGCAAAGATTTCATAAAATTAGCAAATAGTATATTAAGCAACAAGGTACCGTAAAGGCAGCCTTTAAGTCCCGTGTAACTTACGAAATTTTTTATTCTAAAGGCACAAAAGTGGCGATTTAAGATAGCAGACGACAGGGAGTAAAACTCATTCACTTGTTCGACTTCTATGAAAATGGCGGCATTTTTTTTCCATGAGCAAAAATAACGCATGGGAATAGCTGTTTTTTTTGTCCATGGGAAAAAAAGGTCGCCATTTTCATTCAACCTGAGGTATAAAAAGTCAATTTTTCATCAAATCTAATACCTCCTCATGTGATTAGAATGTAAAAAACCATTTCCAACAAGATAGGACCAAAAATTAAAATGTAAAAAAGGGTCAGACCAGCCAAACTGCATTAAAAAAATTTCATTGATTTTCTAAAATGTTAAAACTTTTATGAATATATTTTAGTTATAACATTTTAGAAAATCAATAAAAATTTTTTAACCCAGTTAAGCTAGCCTGACCCAAAAACTTAAAAAAAAAAAAAAAAAATTAATTTTCTATGAAAAAATGTTGTAGAGGAAAGTTGTTTGTATTTGTCTAATCTATAGTAATATAAAGTTTAAAATAATGAAAATTGAACAAATTGAATTTTCAAAATTTTGAAACTACTGTAGTTTGCGTAGTTTTCGACGAAAATTGCTGGCTAACGAACTCGATCTGTATTTTAACACTAACTTTGTGCATGCAAAGTTGCAAGTTGATGTAATAAGTTTTTCAAGAGTTATCGTAGGGACACCATTGTGTCTACAGACAGACACGAAGACAGACATACGGACAGACACTTTTTTTAGACCATGTTTTTCGGACTCAGGGGACCCCAAAACGTCGAGATTTCATGAAATTAGCGAAAGTCAATTTTCGACCAAAACTAATACTTTCTCATATGATGAGAATGTAAAAAAAATGCTTCAACAATTGAAAAAAACATTTTTTTGTGGATTCAAAAACAGATTTTCTACAAAATTAGGAATGGATTTTAAAATTCACGAATTTTTAAGAAAAATAAAAATTCGAATAGAGTCAAAATACCTATTGTCTGATCGATTTTATTTTAAGACCATTGAATTCCTCTCAAAAAATTTTTGACAAGAATTTTATTAAGATTTTTAAAAATAATTGAATTTTTGCCAAGAATTTTATCAAAATTTTTAAAAATATTTGAATTTCAGAGAAGAATTTTATCACTTATAAAGATAATTGAAATGTTGACAAGAATTTAAAGAAATTTTTGGAAATAATTGAATTTCTGCGAAAAATGTTATTTTTTTTAAAAATAATTGAATTTCTGCAAACATTTGTAACTTTTACAAAATTCAATTTTGTTTACTGTTTTTAACTGCAATTCTTATATAAATCCATTATTTTTAATAATTAATTAAATATATATTGAAAAATTTAAGTAATTTGAGAAGTTGAAGTATTAAAATTTTTTAAAAATCTAAGTTCTTTAAAAAAATTTCTAGTTAAATTTATTGAAAATTGAAAGTTTATAAAATTTCAAATTGAAACCTTTTGAAGTTCATCTATTTATGAAAATTGTAAACGCAACTCTTTTAAAATTTAATTAATTTTTAAATATTAAGTAAAATGATTTATTAAATAATTTATAAGTAATAATTTTATGATAGTTCTTCACGAATTAAATTATTTAAAAAGAAATTGTTGTCAGAAATTAAATAGAAAAAATTGAAGAAACAATCTTTTGGACTTTGGTTTGTATACCAATTTCACGTCATTTAAACGAGTCAGTGCCGTTTCTGCTGGGCGAAATTCTAGATTTCACATATAACTAAGTAATTTCAGATACAATTGATCACTCTTAACAATTTAGTCATATTTTTTTCATTTAAATAAAGAAAAGTCGTCCATTAAAATTGCTAACAATTAGACACATTCCACTAATTGTCAGTAGTTCTTCACTAATTCAAATTTAGAGAGAGTTTTAGATAAAATTCAGGACAAATTTGAAGTATTTATATAATTTAAGGACATGTTATTCAATGGTCACGTGTTCTCTTAGTTGATTAATATGGCCACGTGACCACTTAATAAGATACCCTTAAGTTGTAAAGTTTTATTTCAAGTTAACCGGCTTAAATTTTATACCGATATAGAGACTAAAGTACTAATTAAAAGTAAAATATTAGTAAAGAAAAAAAATGTTATGAATGAAAATTACATTTCATTTGCTTACTCTTTCGTAACGTGAACACCACCTTTAAATCCATTGTCAAACCATCCTTTTCCACGACCACCAGCCAAAACTTGAGCCTTAATAACATATTCGCCTGAATCTAGAATTATATAATTTTCATACCAACCACATCTCGACAGCAAAGTTATTATTCAAAGAAAAAAATCATTAGACTAACGTAAGTTTTCCAAGGCAGAATTTGTTTTGTTTATTTTATCAACTATCGTAAAGTTTTGCACTGAAACCCCACAATCCTTAAGCAGTTCTTTGCTTTGATATTCCAGTAAATTTAATCTTCTAGAAGGTACATAGCCATGCTGCATGCATGTTTTTAAATCGCCTTGCATTCGGAAAACTTTTCTTGTGAATAACCTCGACATTGTAGGGTAAATTTATTAAATTTAAATAAACTGTTTTAATAAAATTCTTTTTTGTAATCACGGAGAAAATAAACTGACTTTCACTGTGACGAAAACCAGTTTAAATGGACTGCTTTTATATCAGAGTTCACTTGATTATAAAAACTGAGATACCGGCAATTTCTACGGTTCAGTCCACAATAAAAAAATATTTCTATAAAGGAGCTTCTACAATGGAAGCAAAGTCCAAGTGCAAGGCTAAAGTCCAACGCACAATAGGTTCGCGAAAGTCGTTCGCGAACGAGACGCATGAGATAGACAAGGACACAAATATATCTCTGTCCTTTTCTAACTAATGCTGTGCGTTCGCGAACGACTTTCGCGAACCTATTGTGCTTAGGCATTATGCTGATTCCACACTTACCCAGTCGCTCCGCTTTTCCGTGGCGCTTCGCGTGAGACAGAAAAAGATAGAGATAGTCTCTGTCTTTTTCTATCTCACGCAAAGCGCCACGGAAAAGCGGAGCGCTGGGTAAGTGTGGAATCAGGGGCCGTATTCTCGAAAGCATTCGACAATTCTCGCATGCGTAAAATGTCGAATGGTTAATGTCGCATGCGACTCTGAAAGTCTATTCTCAATGACCGTTCGAGATAGGTTGTTCGAAAATTTCCGTGTGCGACATTCATACATTGTTGCCGTCGTTTCCAAATACTTATCTGCCAATCATAATTGAGGAGGAAGAGAACTTGACATATGAGAAAAATACAAATAGTTATCCGTTCATTTAAATATTTCAAAATCAATTCAATTTTGCGTTTACAATTTTTATAAACAAATTAACTTTAAGCGGTTTCAGTTTGAAATTTTATAAAATTTTAATTTTGAATGAATTTAATTTAAAATTTTGATAATTCAAATTCTTTTGAAATTAGTTATATTTGGCAATATATATTTAATTAATTATTAAAAATAATGAATTTATAGAAGAATTTTAGTTAAAAACACTAAATACATTGAATTTTGTAGACAATAAAAGTAGAACGTTACAAAATGATTACAAAAATTTAATTATTTTTAAATGTAATAAAATAATGAAAAAATAATAACAATCAAATATTTATTTAAATAGAAGTTACTGATATTATTACGAATAATTTTATAATTAAAGAAATTCGTAAATAAATGTAACAACATTTTTTTTTATATTAAAGTTTTAATATTAGCATTTGTAAATTGAGAATTTTTTACAAAAATGTTAAGAAACTGGAATATGTAATATTTTTTTTTAAAGAAAAGAATCAGTTTGTGAACAATATTGTTATTGAAAAATTAAAATTATGCATAATAAAGGGATATATCCCTTTATATTATGCATAATTTTAATTAATAAATATATATATTTCCTATTTTTGCAAAAAGAAAATTTATTTGTTAATCAAAATTTTTTGTAATTTTATAATTTTAATTTATTTTAAATCTTAAAAAAGAGCATACTTTCAATTTGTGAAACAATATTTTGTGAAGAAAAAAACAAAAGCATACACAAAAACTAACTTTAAAGTGTGAACAGACAGAAAAAATGAAACGAAGATTAAAAAATTAAAAAAATTTATATTGTTTACATGATTCATTCACAAAAATAACACAAACATGTGCAATTTATCCATTATAAATTTTGCATATTATAAATTATTTACATAAACTTTTATTTCACAAGTTTACTTTTAATTCTTAAACATTACATTTAGGTTATTTTGTATAGTTTTTCTACTTTAAGGCCAACGCAGAATAGAATCTTTAACCGGAACCGCAATCGTAAGCGTACCGTAAGAATGAGTTAAAGAAGGATAGGTATATTGTTTATCCTTCTCTAACTCATTCTTACGCTTACAGTAACGATTGCGGTTCCGGTTACAGATCTATTCTGCGTTGGCCTTTAGCATGCGGTTCATGTACACTAATACTACTTTATATTATATACGTTTATTACAAGGATGACACACAACCTTATTTTTTACTAGCATTTCGTATACGACTTTGCATCTCGAATGGCCACTACCCACTCGAGATGAACCATTCGGAAATTATCGCATACGACATGAAATCTCGCATGCGACAAGCGTTCGAGAATAGCTTTTTCCATCTCGAATGGTCTGTCGCATGCGACATCTAGGGTCATCGATCTAGGGTCATTACACCTCTGCAGGCTGCCTGCCTGCGCAGGCAGGAGCAACGAGAGTAATGGCACGGTCACACCTCGGCTGCCTGCCTGCCTGCCTGCGCAGGCAGCCGCCACGAGAGTAAGAGAGAGGAGACGAATAATTTAAATTGTCTGACTCTCTTACTCTTATGTATTGCCATGACGACCTGCAGGCAGGCAGGCAGGCAGCCGAGCTGTGACCGTACCATAAGGGAAAAGTTTGTAGTCACTGACTCTCTTACTCTTGTACGTTACCATGACAACCTGCAGGCAGGCAGGCTGCCTGCAGAGGTGTAACCTCAGCCTAATTTCATAAAGTTGAGTTTCCAATAAGACAAGGTGCGCATCGATGTTCATAGCTATAGATATACCACAGCATACTTTAGTATACCTATAGCTATGAACATCGATGCGCACCTTGTCTTATTGGAGACTCAACTTTAATAGAGTGATCACAGCCACGGGGGTGACACTCTTGAGTTGGAACTAACCTGAGAGTTGACCGTCGCCACCGGTGGCGCTTGCTGGACATTGGACCGAGATTGAGTGAAATGCATGGGATTGCAAAGAAAAATTTAATTTACAATTATTAATATTAATTTGATGGTATTTATTTGTACATAATATTGATTCAGTAACTTTTTAGCATATTTTATAATATCAAAAACTTAGAAAAAGTGTTCAATATTTTATTTATAATGAAAATTGTGCAACAATTGAGTGCTTGGATACAACAAGGGGACGTACGCTCGGCGAGCCGCTTTAAGTTGAGTCTCCAATGAGAGAAGGTGAGCATCGATGTTCATAGCTATAGATATACCACAGCAAACTTTAGTATACCTATAGCTATGAACATCGTTGCGCACTTTGTCTTATTGGAGACACAACTTGAGGCTGCTTCTACAACAACTTTTTTTTCATCGACACGAACAAGATGCACTATAAAGTCCAACGCACAATAGGTTTGCGAAAGTCGTTCGCGAACGAGACGCATGCGATAGACAAGGACACAAATATATCTCTGTCCTTTTCTAACTTATGCTTTGCGTTCGCGAACGACTTTCGCGAATCTGTTGTGCTTAGGCCTTTAGGCTATTCAAGTTGGGTGGGGGAAAATTCAAGATGGATGCTAACTGGTGCACAAACATTGTATAGAAAGTGTATGCGATAGAGTCTAATTTTTTAAATATCTCGCTTAAACGAAATTTTTAACCAGAAGTTTATTAGGATTTTATGTTTCATTTTTAAAGAACTATTTTTTGCAATAATAAAAATCGATTTTTATTTTTTATGAATACGACGATTATTATAGTTAATTGATTTTATTATTGCAAAAAATAGTTCTTTAAAAATGAAACATAAAATCCTAATAAACTTATAGTTAAAAATTTCGTTTAAGCGAGATATTTAAAAAATTAGACTCTATCCCATACACTTTCTATACAATGTTTGTGCACCAGTTAGCATCCATCTTGAATTTTCCCCCACCCAACTTGAATAGCCTTATTAAAACCATGCAAAATAGTTGCGCGCGCATCGTTTTCACGCTCATGTCGATGGAAAAAAAGTTGTTGGAGAAGCAGCTTGAAAGTCGAGACGATTTTTAGCTATTCTGGAATCAGTTTCAATGGGATATATGTGACGCTCCACGAGAAAAGGGACCTTATTTACTCTTGTCATAAAGTCCCTTTTCTCGTGGAGCGTCACATATGTATACAAGCGTCTCGTCAACTCTTCTGCAGGCATGGGTGCGTATAATACATGATGTATAATACGCATTTATACATGTATAAATGGTTTTATACATGTATAATACTACGTTTATTACGTCCTAGGTTTTCTACATTATGTATATTACATGTGATGACGTAACTCGGTAACTGAAAGATAGTATTTTGAAATTTCTTACACTGTAAAAAAATCTGGTGTAAAATAACACGAAACTTGTAATTTCACACATCAAAATTATAGGTTGTACGTAGTAAATTTATTTCGTTCCAAAAGTAGTTTTACTATTTTTAATAATTTTACATTATACGACTATGTAATTTAATAGTTTTGTGTAAATTTACTACGTCCGACGTAGGAAAATTTGATCACTATGTGATGTCCGACGTGGTATTTTTAGATTGCGTGTATTTCTACACTTTGACGTAATATTACGTCGCACGATCTGTAAAATTACTTATATGCTTTGCGTTTTAAGATTTTTGGTATTTGTTTTTCAAAATGGCGCCTTAAAATAAACAATTTTCCAAAATTTAACACAGGATGGATACAATTATCAAAAGTTCATGAAATCGATTGAAATTTGTTACTCGGGGGTTTTTAGGGTCGCTAATTACGAATCTAAAGTCAAATTTAAAAAATTCAAAATGTCGGATCCAATATGGCGGACGACAATATTAAAAATTCAATGTATTGGCTTCAAATTTGTTACTCGGGGGTTTTTGGGGTCGCTGATTACGAATCTAAAGTCATATTTTCAAAATTCAAAATGGCGGACGACAACATTAAAACTTTATATATTGGCTCTAAATTTGTTACTCGGGGGTTTTCGGATTCGCTGATTACAAAGCTGAAGTCATATTTTTGAAATTCAAAATGGCGGATCTAATATGGCGGACGACAACATTAAAACTTCATTTATTGGCTTCAAATGTGTTACTCGGGGGGTTTTCGGAGTCGCTGATTACGAATCTGAAGTCAGATTTTAAAAATTTTAAATGCCGGACGACAAAATATATCAATGCTATAACATAATTTTATCCGCTAATAATTCTGGCGAATCTTACTTGCATGATGGCGATGATGAATCTGAGTGTAAGTCCGATGATATTTTTTCTGCGGCAGATCATGATATTAATTCCTTGTTGAGGGGTCATGAGCAGTTGTGAAATTCCAATGAAAAAAGCCTATTTTTAAGTACCATTTTCTCAACTTCAAATAATTTTTTCATCACACTTTGTTCTGATGATATTATATACAAAGGACTAAAATCTGATCGTTCGATAAAGACAAATATTTATTTTTGAATTTTAATCGTTAAATCATTGAATCTTTCACTCTTTCAATATAAATCTTTCAATTTTTCAATCATTAAATTATTTAATCTTTCAATTACGGAGCGTTCACAAATGATGTCACGCTTTTGGGGAAGGGGGGGGGTCTTACTAAACGTGACACAATGTATTTTTCTCATACGAAATTGAAAAAATTGCGTGACAGGTGGGAGAGGGGGGTTTAAAATCATCATCATCATTTGTGAACGTTATTATTCAATCTTTCAATCATTCAACATTTAAATCCTTCAATCTTTTAATCTTTTAAGCAGTCAATCATTCAATCTTTCAGTCATTCAATCTCATTTTTTTAATCGTTAAATCATTCAATCTTTTAATCTTTCAAGCAGTCGGTCATTCAATTTTTTAATCATTTAATCTCAATTTTTTAATCTTTCAATCATTCAATCTCAATCTTAATTTTTCAATATTTCAATCATTCAATATTTAAATCATTTAATCCTTCAATCATTCCATTTTTTAATCATTCAATCTTTTAAGCAGTCGGTCTGTTACGTATGACTTCGTAACATTTTTATATTTTTAGTAAAATCATATTGTATTTAAATGAACTCAATAAGCATTTATTCATGTCGATTTATGAGGTAACAATCACACTTTTAACACATGATGACACTTTGTAACACACATATTACAACATTCCGTAAGGAATTTTGTATTAAGATCTAAATAATGAAATGAAGATTGTGATACTTTATAATGTGCAAAACTGTGTCAAATATTCTTTAAGAGTAAGTAGAATTTACTTACGATATTTCTCAATGTAAAAAGTGGTTCATCCAAGCAACAGAACTTGGGTAATGACATTCAAACAAATCTGCAAGGTAGCAGATAATCATTAAGTAATAACTTAATAATAAGTAGGTCTTTCCCACCAAAATGTCGTTCAATAAAAAGAATCGACAAAAGGAAATCATCGCAGTTGCCCGTGAATCTTGGCGAAACAAAGTATGTTTGGCCATAGTAGCCGCAGTTAGGCAAAAGTTGCCTTTAAGTCTCACGAAGGGACTCCAGAGATTTTCATTAAGTGATTTAAAAAGAGTAATTGACATAGTATTTTTATATGTGAAAAATATTTAAAAAAATTAAAAAGATAATAATAAAATAAATCTTGATATAAGGTTCCAGACACTACAACTCAGTTAAAGTGAGTATACTGAATACGCAAACACAAAAAGAACACATACACAATTCATTATCATAAACGATTGTTTTCAATATAAAATAAAAGTTTGTCATTTAATATTATTTTATTGCTGATTTTACTTAAAAATTAGATTATCCTATTAATAATTTCATTCCTTTCCAAAATACGGTCTCTCACCCGATTGGTTGAAATGATAACCAAGAATGAAAAGGAATCCACTACCTTTAAATAAAATTATTTGTTTCCTTAGAGCATTGACGTTCACTACGGGGTGAAATAATTTAAATATTTAATATTTATTAAATAATAAATAAATTCATTCTTAACACGGTCATTCAATCTTTCCATCATTCAATCTCAACTTTTTAATCTTTAAATCATTCAATCTTTCAATTTTACAATATCAATCTTTCAATCAGTCAACCTTTTAATTCTTCAATCATTAAATCTTTTAATATCAACCCACACAACACCGAAACTTTCCTGAAAATTTATTAAAGATTTACTTGCAAACTTCGAAAAATTTACTTGCAAAGTTTAGTAAAAATTGTGTAAAGATTTAAATGTCCGACTTAAATAAATGTTTATCGTCAAATTTTCCTAAAAATTTAACTTAAAACTTTCCTGAACATTTAAATTAAATTTTTGACTTCTCTCTTATAAACGAAAATGTAACTTAAAAGTTTCCTGAAAATTTAAATTAAATTTTCGCCTATATACAGTAGGCGAAATTTTTTTTTTAATTTTTAGGAAAGTTTCAGGCTAAACATTTATTGAAGTGGGACATTTAAATCTTTACAAAATTTTCACTAAACTTTTCAAGTAAATACTTCGAAGTTTGCAAGTATATCTTTAATAAATTTTTAGGAAAGTTTCGGTGCTGTGTGGGAATCTTTCAATCATTCATTCTTTCAATCAGTCAACCTTTCAATCCTTCAATCCTTCAATCTTTTAATCATTCGATGTTTTAATATTTCAAGCATTCAATCTTTTAATTCTTCAATCATTAAATCATTCAATCATTTAATCATTCAATCTTCCAATCATTCAACCTTTCAATTCTTCAATCATTGAATCTTCCAATCTCAATTTTTCAATCATTCAATCTTTTAATCATTCAATCATTCAGTCATTCAATTTTTCGATCCTTCAATCATTCAATCTTTCTCTTTTTCTCTAGGCACTACAAGACAACATTAAAAATTCTGCGAACTGCTTGCGCAAAACACCCGACAAAGAAGAATATTCTGCTACCGTGTCATCTGATATTCTACAAATCGATTTTTCAAAAAATTTGAATGAAGTAAATGACTCTCTATTACACGACGAAGTAAATGAACCCATTGAAAAGCGCTTTAAATTCGAGGAAATTCTAAACTTTGAAACTTGCTCACATTCAAGAAGTAAAGAAAACACACCCTTAAGCTCTGGTTTCAAGTTAAGTAATGTTTTAATGTTTCCGCAGTCAGGTTTAAACGTGAATGAGGTGTTTGAAATGTTACTTGGCTATTTTATTAAATTTAGTGTGACAGAAACGGCAAGACATAAACTGATTGAATTGGTGAAAATTTTAGCAGGGCCATTCTTTAAAGATTTGAATGCCTCTAACTATTTAATAAACAAAACTTTAAATCTTCCTGACGACAAAATTATTTTTAATTATTGTTGCCAGGATTGCGAAAAGGAAATACTTTAGTCATCTTTCAAATCGAATATAAAGCAGCTAGAAAAAATTTGCTCTAATTGCGATTCAAAAAATGAAATTTCTTTAAGCAGCTCAATATATTTTCTTACAATAGATTTTCAATATCAATTAAAATTACTTTTGGAGAATGAAGTTATAAAAGAAAACATATTCAAAGAAATCACTAGCTGCACTGAGAAAAAAGAAGAGAAACACAATGTTTGTGACATTCAGGACAGCAAATTGTATACTGAAACACAACTTATCTTCCCCAATACGCTCACCTATAATATCAGTTCAGATGGTGCTCCTATTGATAATGGTAAAAATTCAACCAGGAGCTTTTGGCCTCTTTCTGTTATCTTGAATGATTTACCACCAGAAATTCGATTTAAGCATCTAATTTTAGTAGGTCTCATAGTAGTTTCTAAGAAACCAAAACCTTATTTAATTGACTTATTTACTAAGAAATTTAAAGAACAAGCTCTACCTTTACATGAAGAAGGAATGAAGTACACTTTTCCGCAAGATTCTGTGGAGAGATCTATTACATTCACACCGTTGTGTGTAATTGCTGATTCACCAGCTCGCGCGCTTCTAAGAAATTGTATGATGCACAACGGTTATTGTAGTTGCCCTTATTGCTATCAACTTGGCTTTTATGCGAATTGTGTAAAATTTCCGTTACTCCAGAACATTTTGGCAGAAATGCAAACACATGAATCGCACATGGAAGATGTGAAAATTGCTGAAAAGAACAATACAATTTATAACAGCGTTAAAGGTAGCTGCACATTTAACGATTTTCCAAATATTGATATGGCACGCAGTTTCAGCTTCGATGCGATGCACATGGGCATTTTAGGAGTCACAAAACAGGTCGCAGATTTAATCAAACCAAAGATAATTCCTGCAGATATTGAGAAAAATGGATGAAATGTTAATGCAGATTAAACCACCTCACGAAGTTCACAGCGAATCAAAGTCTGCTAAGACTTACTTTATGAAGAATCTAGAAGAACCTAAAGAGGCCTTAGTTATGTTGTTATAGGTTCGATTTTAGATCGTATAGGGTCTACATAAGACCATTTTCACTGTCTATAAGGCGTTAAAGAGGTCTTAATTTAAGACCTGTTTAGAGCATACTAACTACTACCGACTACAGCATTTAGAATTTGCGTTTGCGCAAACAAAAAAAAAGTACTGTTAATATTGAACAAAACAATCCAATTTGTTTTATTAAATTTTTTGTTCTCTTGACAATTAGAATGTTTTATAAACACAAACTTTTGTTGAATCTTAATTTTATAACAAAACTAACTGTCAGAACAACAAAAAAGTAATCATAACAATAAAATTGGATTATTAATTGAGCATAAACAATTCCTTTTTTAATTATGTGATATGGTCAATATACGTAATATTACCTGATTTTCTTTATATTTATTTTTTTATTTATTGGTTTATACACCTGTCTTCAGCCTTACATCCTTGGCTATACAAGTGTTTCTCTTACAATTTTTTTCTTAGGCCGCGGTTACATGCGTGCGTTGAACGCTGCGTTCTGCGTTCATTCAAATCGCATCTCCGTTCAATATAATTTGTTTATAACTTTTAAAATAATTGTCGCTCAAAATTTTCTCAACGGATTTTGATTTCTTATAGTTTTAAGTGTATGTTAATATTTTTTTCAAATTTTTAAAAGGCGTAGAACATTAAAAAAAATTAATTGTTTATAAAAAATGTATTAAATAATTATTTAAAAATAAACTTTTTAAAAATTTTCTAATTCTAAACGAAAGTATATTTTATCTCCTTGATATTCCCGCTTGGTTTATTTAAATCAATTCATTCATTTAGGAGAAATAAAATTTTGTTTAAAAAGTTGCTAAAAAATTAATTTTGCAATAGCTTTTATAAAAAATATTTTTTTTTCTGTTTTTTGGTGGACACATTCTTAAGGCCAAATAGAAATGTTTTTTCAACATTTCAATTAAAAAAAAATACTTTTTGTTTTTTGTGAAAATTTCACGAATTCTGACCCTTAATTAAATTAAATAAATTTTTGAAAATTTTTCAAAAAAATGGTTAATTTTTTTTTGAAATGTCTTTCATTTAGCTAGTTATTAAAGAATCCGGTAGCGGAGGATGAAAAAGTCCAGGGATGGGTACGTAACATACTTCATGTATGTTACCTGGGTTTGTTACTGTATGTTACCTAGTATGTTACGTCCTTACATTGTTACATCCATGTATTTTTCGAGAGTGATATATATATATATATATATACAGTCGAACCTGGATAAGTGGAACCTGAAGGGACCAAAGTTCTTGTTCCACTTATAGAGGTATTCCACTTATCCAGGTCATTTAAGGTCAAGTTACTTATGCAGGGACCGCAAAGAAAGTTCCACTTAAAGAGGATTCCCACTTATCGAGGGACCACTTATCCAGGTTCGACTGTATATATAAATTTATTAAATTAATTATTTAATTAAATTTAATTAATTTAATTTGTTTTGCAGAATCAGTCGTTATGTTCAACGTTTGTCGCTGAATACAAAAAAAAAGGTTACAATTAAAGAGAATATCGAATTTCCTTTTATGACGGATGACGACGAGACCGAACTAAGAATCCTAGACATTTACCAACGTCACATGTGCGAGCAGCGATCATTTATAGCAATTGCGAGAGATTTGATCGCTCCGGAAATTAAAAGAAGTCGTCAAAAAGAAGCATCGAAGAATCGAAATAAAAGGAAGAGAAATGCACCGTCATCAACATCGTCAAGCTCGATGGAAAATTCCGATTGTAGACCAGCAAAGAAACGACCTGTAAGAAATCCGGCTACTCCAGAAACACCAACCGCGCCAGCCACTGGAACTCCAACCGCGCCAGCCACTCCTGGAACTCAAACAGCACCAGTTTTTAGAAAAAGAACCAAAATTGAAAGTGCCGTTACTTCTAGTCTTTATAAATCCATAAAAGTAGGAGAAATAATCTGGGCGAGGTATGGGTCGCAAAAAAATCAATTACTTCCGGCAATATGCGCATCTAAAAAAAATCGTAAAATAAAAGTAAAATTCTTGTCGACTTCGGACGTCGATGATCTACCGGCGTGGACAGCTTCAAAATTTTATCCCTTTAAATATTTCTACTTACCGACAGGACTCAACCGCCTTGAAAAAAATTTCAAAGATTTAAAAACTCATTTATTAAATTTCTAATGGGTTTTCTTGCCAGAGAAGAGGGAAACTGTAGAAAACCTCTCCTGAGTACAACCGGTTTATCGACAGTCGAGTTCTAATGGTGTGTACCGGACAATAATCGACGGTGCACATCATTATACCTCGACATCAAACCTCCCGCTCAGATTATCTCACGTGCCGGAAAAATACCAAGCCAAATGGGCGCGAACTAAGGGTACTTACCTTTGGTCCTTAAACGACCGCCAAGCGAGGCATCTATCCGACTGAGCTAATCTGTCGGTCTGATTTTCTTATTATTAACTACAACAAAAACTTACATGAACAAATTTTATTTACAATAAAATAACACTTAACTCGGATCCAAAATGTATATTTATTTTGTTATATTCACATGTATAGGGGAGACTGGGGTAAACCCGCTCACTTTTTTCAGATCGGTTAAAATCTAGGATATTATTCTCTAAATCAAAGTTAATTTATATCATTTGAAAGCTTATGATTTCTACTAAAAGAGAAAAAAAAATTTTTGATTTATCTTTTTTAGTTTTACTTAGAGAAACTTTTTAATACACATATACAAAATTTCGAAATCACAATTTTCCAAGGTAAACCCACTTAATTTATATTTTCAAAACGGAACAGTTTTATTTTTTAAATATTAAAATTCGTCTTATTCCCGTCTTAACCCTTTAACGCCCAAATGTGCTGTTTTCCGACTTGAATTTTAACTTCGGAACACTATTAAAAGAAAGCTAAAAATATTTCAAAAGTACCATTTTCTACTATTTTCGGGGTCGCTCTTTTGAATGGCGTTGTCAAAATTTCCAAAAAATGAAATTAACCCCCTCTTTTAATGAAATTTTCCAAAAAATGCAAGATTTTTGGATGAAATTTTTTTTTTATTGCAATTTTCATTGATATATCGGTATCTACATATTGTCTAAGGTGTAAAAACCGTATTCCCGATAGCTGTACTTTAAAAATATGCAGTAGTTTTTTTTCATTTTTCATTAAAAAATGGCGCCCGAATGCTAAAATTTTTTTTTATTACACAGTCAAATTTTTTGTTCTTAATTTGCTTAAATTCGCTTGAAATTTGTTACTCGGGGGTTTTTAGGGTCGCTGATTACGATATAAAGTTTTTAAAAATCCAAAATGGCGGATCCAAAATGGCAACCAAAAAAATAAAAATCATTCAGATTGGCTTAAAAATTGGTACTCGGGGGTTTTTGGGGTCGCTGATTACAAATATGATGTTAGTTTTTAAAACTCGAAAATGGCGGATCCAAAATGGCGACCAAAAAAATAAAAATCATTCGGATTGGCTTAAAAATTGGTACTCGGGGGTTTTTGGGGTCGCTGATTACGAGTATGATGTTAGTTTTTAAAAATCCAAAATTTCGGATCTAATATGTCGGACAAAAAAAATTAAAATCATCCGGATTATTATTACCCACAAAGCACAGACATTTTCTGCAAGTTTGCTGCAAGTTTTCCATGCAAATTTCGCAAGTTTGCATTGAAAGTTTGCAGCAAACTTGCATAAATATAAAAATTTCACCCACTTGGCAAGTTTGCACTGCAAGTTTGCAGCAAACTTGCGCCAAATAGCAAAAACTTATATGTATGCGCAGTAGTTTACTATGACATCTAGAGCTGTGCACTATATTTTAGTCACCTTCTCTACAGGGAAGGCATCGTTCATCAAAATATATGCTATTTGAAAAATTTGTTTTTTTAATTTTTTAGGTATTTTAGAAAGTTTGCTGCAAATTTTCCTCAAGTTTTCATTGCAAACTTGCCAAGAGGGTGACATTTTTATTTGTAGGCAAGTTTGCTGCAAACTTGCGAACTTTGCATAGAAAACTTGCAGCAAACTTCCAGAAAAATACTGTGTTTTGTGGGTAATTGAGTATAAGTAAATTGAGCGTGTCAATGCAAGAACCGGTCGTACGCCATATGTGTATCCCTAGCGTACGACCGGTTCTTGCATTGACACGCTCAATTACAAAATTGACTCAAATAACAATTTTCAAGCCAATCCGGATAATTTTTATTTTTTTTGTCCGACATATTAGATCCGAAATTTTGGATTTTTAAAAACTAACATTCCATAATTTTGGAATTTACTTATACACAATAATTAATAATGTCAAACTTGAAACATTACTTTCATAAAACTTAGTTTAATTATTTATTGAACTTTAAAGTGGGGACCTTTTTTCATCATTATACTTTATTCGAGGTTGTCTTCTGTCACGTCCTGGGCTAAGGCAAGGATAATTTTATTAAGCGAATAATAAAAGGAAGGTAAAGTGCAGATTTGATTTCACACATTGAGGGTTAAATTAAAAAAAATTTTAACTCGGGATGTAACATCTACCAAAACTTATTCTAAGTCCTGGTCACCTTCAGTTACTAAGGACAAATGTTTTTTATTATTTAAATATCTGTTGCATATCAGATCCGAAATTTTGGATTTTTAAATCTAACATCATATTCGTAATCAGCGACCCCAAAAAACCAAGAGCACCAATTTTTAAGCCAATCCAAATGATTTTTATTTTCTCGGTAGCCATTTTGGATCCGCCATTTTCGAGTTTTAAAGACTAACATCATATTCGTGATCAGCGACCCCATAAACCCCCGAGTACCAATTTTTAAGCCAATCCGAATGATTTTTATTTTTTTTGGTCGCCATTTTGAATCCGCCATTTTCGAGTTTTAAAAACTAACATCATATTCGTAATCAGCGACCCCATAAACCCCCAAGTACCAATTTTTAAGCCAATCTGAATGATTTTTATTTTTTTTGGTCGCCATTTTATATCCGCCATTTTGGATTTTTAAAAACTAACATCAGATTCGTAATCAGCGACCCCATAAACCCCCAAGTAACAAATTTCAAGCGAATTTAAGCAAATTTAGAAAAAAAATTTGTATGTGTAATAAAAAAAAAATTTAGCGTTCGGGCGCCATTTTTTAATGAAAAATGAAAAAAAACTACTGCATATTTTTAAAGTACAGCTATCGAGAATACGGTTTTTACACCTTAGACGATATGTAGATACCGATATATCATATAATACGTGAAATTATTTTATTCTAAATTTTAAATTTAAAACTAAGTGAGCGGCTCTACCCCGACTTTACGTGAGCGACTTTACCCCGAGTGTATTCCTCACGTTTCAGAATAAATTCAATTAAATCTTTTTGAAATAAGACAAAACTATATATGTACTTCGAAGAAGGACATCCAATAGCAACAAAAAAAATTTGTCAGATAAATTAAGACTCAAAAATAATGATTGAAAAACTTAAAAATCCAAAAAACGTTTTTTTTCTGACACCTCCAAAAACATTTGATCGCCTCTGATTCTATGTTGGATTCATGAATCTATACGAAAGTTCGTTAATATAAGTTGAATGTTACCCAGTGGGCACAGGGACGTCAGACGTCCCTTTTTGTCCGCGGACGATTCGGGGACAATGATGGCAATGTCTCTGAGTCATCAAAAAGACAACTAAAAGACGTCTAAAAGACGTTCTATGTCTGGTCCAAAAGACGTCTAAAAGACATAAGAAAGGACGTCTAAAGTACGTCTAAAAGACGTCTTTTGGACGTCTAAAAGACATAAAAGGGACGTCTAAAAGACGTCTTTTAGACGTCCTTTTTACATTCCTTCAGATCTTAAATAAACATTTCTTTTATAACATTTTCTAAGTTGAAATTCAGTAACATTGTATTAAATTTATTTTAAGTTTAATTTTATTTTTTCTAAAATGTGGAGAAATAATGAAAAAATTCCTGCAAAGCTGGGATCGAACTCAGATACCTTAGTCATGAAACACTGCGCCTTAAGGGGATGTCAAAGTCGATTGGATTTTTGCATTGAGCTTCAATGGGAAAATCGCATCGACTTTGACATCCCCTTAAAGTGGTCACAAGTTTGCTACTATCCCCTCCTCTTTGTTGACCCCGCCCATAATTGGTGACTATTTGAGACCATTTGTACCTCATTTTTGACCATATTTTTAAGCCACTTCTGTTTTATTTATTTAAACAATATGCAAAAAGTTGCAACAAATTAATTTTAAAAAATATATTTTATTAATTGAGGAGCCGGGAAGAAGAACTCGCCGAGCGCTCAACTGCACACGCTATTGCTAGTCAAGCGACCCAAAATGTTCAAAAAATTGAAATTCGAAATTTTGATTTTTAAAATCTACTTCCTTGTAGAAAACAGAAATGCGCATCTTTTTTTCCTTTGACTTTTTTTTATAGGATAAAAAGTGTAGATAATAAATGGAAAAAACTAAAAAAAATTTTTTTACCAATTTAATTAAATTTTGAAACATAAATCGTCGTATCTTTGACAAATATTAATGAAATCACTTTATATTTGGTATGCACACTTATTAGGGTACATAGAAGACTACGAAATAAAAAAAATTTGAAAAATCATTAATTTGTTAATAACAATTAATTATAAATAGTGAACGGTCGGTAATAGGGGTTTCTTACCTTTGACGAAAAAAAGTCTGTGGGGAATTTCAAAGTTGAAAAAACTTTCAGTGAGACATTTGTTTATCATAATATAAGGAAGTTTTCTGGAAATTTGCAAACTAATTCATTCAAAAGTTTCGAAAATATAAGCGTTTTTCGAAAAAGCGGGTGACGCGCTACCGCGTCTA